TGGTAGTCATTCTCTGAATGATGTGGTGGTCCTGAATAGGGCCGTTTGTCTTGTGCGAGTGTGTTCGCTCAGTTAGTAAAGTGTCACGGTTGGGATCGAACGGGATTGACACAACACGACACTGTACTTTCCTAGTTTGGTTCATTAGTTTTGTATTTTTAAATAATGGCATATATACTTTTTTGTTGCAAGTGCATCAACCAAATGTAGTCAACTTATTGTATTAGTATGTGTAGTCTGTGTTATTGGACAATAGTGTACAGCTACGGATTTAACAGATCATTAAAAAATGCCGAAGATTTATCATCACGAGTTGTATAGGTTGAAGAGCTCATTGCAGCCAACAATTTACCCCACAGTGTTGCTTCATCACTGAAACTATGCGACGAATCATATTTTTCAAACATATTTTTTTACACGTTTTTTGTTTTGATGTCTTAGAAAATTTACTATATTTTTAGTGGGTTCATAAAAAAGGAGATGTAGTCATTGAAGTCTATTGAAACCGCTGCTAAACTTCCACTATATGTATATTATTTTACCGCCCTCAAATCAAAGTAGTATTAAAACCTGGGAGATTTATTGGCAAGCAATTATAGACTAAAATATATACTGACGAGTTTTCACTGTTTTGGCCTAAACGTAATGTTGAATTAGGCAGACACACAAAAATATAGTTAGATCAATACATTTTTAGTTTTTGCAGTGATATGCTTGAATTTAGCATGGTAGAAAATGAAATTCACTTTGTTTTTATATGTCCATTTTAAATGATCTAAGGGTTGATCTTTTGTCAAATAATGCAATATGCAATTTTGCAAATACTGACAGTCTGGGCTTACTTCGTCACTACACAAACTGCCACACCATTTATCAACTAGTTCTGTATCTTTTAAAAATTTTCGAGCGACGAGATGAATATTAATCCAGCTTAACTTAGTACCATATGTTTATATGGATGTTGAATGTATTGTTTTTAAAACGTGCTATGCACTTTTCTACTCATTACATTTTCTACGATGGGCTGAGGCCCTGTACAGAAATAAAATTACATAATACAAAATTGACTAATACTAAAATGAATAATTGTAGACAGATTTCGACATGAAACATCTGCGAAGAGCGAAAAAACTCGTGAGTAGCATTCAACCTTAAAATGCTTAGACAATAATGCTAAGATACGTATAGTCTTGTCTTTTTTGTGTACAACATTTTGCCGTAGTGGATCTAGGGTGTGGGTGCGTTTGTCTGTGGGTGGGTAATGGCTCAGGACCCCTTCTCTAAAATCATATGGTAAAATAGTTCAATGACGTTATGTGAAATAACTTACCAACGTAACACAAAGTAAACCAATTGAATTTAAAACCGAGAATATAAAAATGCATGTAACAGAGCTCAAAGACACTTTTTTAATATTATAAAATTCACACGTTTCACGTCAAATATATTATTTTTGTTTTCGAACCCGCTATTTAAAAGTGCTGACTACGGTCCTGATAATTATAACAGTAATCTGCGTAGTGTTGAAATGCACAGGAACAATTTAAGTTATACATCAACTGCCAAGAAAACTCAATTTTAGAAAGAACTATTTGACTTCATTTGCATATTTTTGTGGTCAATGTCAAATTATTGAGCAAGGTTGTAACTATGAATACCACAGTACATATGTAATTGTATACGTTATGGCCAGTTACCATGGTTACCATGTAAACACTATAAATAATTTAGTCATTGAATCATAATGTGGTGAATGTGAGGTACTCGCTCTCTGCAGTTTCTAAGAATATGCTTGTCAGCACACTGGGCAAATTACTAGTATACGTAGAGTGTATGTGACAGATAAAAGTCACTGCTTCGAGAAAAATATATAGAATATTTGCGTAGATGTCATATACAAAGTTACTTTCCAATCAAAGACAGTTGTCAATTAGCTCCTAAGAATGTGCTTATTAAAACATGGACATGAAGTGACATCTTTACGCATGAATGCAACGTGTTTTACAAACAACACATAAATTAGACACATGTGTAGAAACATATAGGTGTGACTGGTGTCCATGGATACGGTAACAATATGTCCTTGATAGAATAAGGTAAACTGCATTTACAATATTCCAAGCGTACAGTGCTTTCAGAAATACAGTTTACATAATTTATAACTAGTTTATAACATATTTACCGAACGTTTCATTCCAATCCAATTGAGACAACTGAGTTAGCTATAATAATTTGCGCGGTATTCCACGTTGTGCCTCAAAGCAAAACTGATTCTGGCCGACAACAGTAGTTTTAAAAGTTTTAAACCGACAATTTTGTAAACGGCTTTTGCAAAAGCACTGTATTGGTGTGTACGTGCACATAGTAATACCATTCATTGCAATAGGAACCTATTAAGATTGCTATCACTGAATCAGACTGATGGCCCTTGTGCGTTTAGGGCTTGCGTAAGCTCCAAATGATGAATCGTGAGTTCAGTGCATCGCACTATGGTCAAGGCAAGGGATGTTGTTCTTGTTATAAGGCAGAACGTCCTGTAATTATATTTCTATAACGCCCAGTTTTAGTTGTGTTTTTACGGTAATATTTTCCCATATCAATCGATTACAATCGTGAGAATGAACGCGTGTTTTGGTTATAAATACATACTCACGTTTCAATCGATTTATGTCTATGAAAGGTGTTTGTACATTGAGTAACAATTCCACTGCAATTTAGGGATGTTGGAATTTAAGTGTTTGTGTATAAATTGAAATGTCGCCACATCAATACAAACTGAGTTGCCGTCCTTCGGGCGATTTATACGTAGTGTTATCTTCCTGTTCATATGGGCATTTGCCACGCTGTCTATTTTTATCGTTGTCTAACTCACTGGTATTTTGTATCGCTGTCAGTATTGTTACACTGCTATATTAAGCACTAGTAAATACAAGTCATTGAAAATGACACAGTCCCCGTTAAATTAAGTTCTCTTTGTGCTCGTCATATTAAAGCGGAGGGGTTGTCGCGAGCGTGTCCTTGAAACTTGAGTTCCAAGTGGCGTATACAACAGATTGTTTATTTACATCAAAACATGTGTTCCGTGTAGTAGTAATATGGCCAAAAATAAAAACAGCCGTTATTCGGCCATCTTTGATCTGATTATAAAACACACTGATATGTATGATGTATGTGCCAAATACGAATGAAAATGGTACATAAATTGTGGAAATATAGTAGTAAGGCTAAAACAAACAAATTGTCATGGACATGCATCCTAACATGTATAAAGTACATGTATGTGCCAAATTTTAATGAAAACTGACAGAGCACGTCAAAAATACCGCATAAAAAAAAATGCCTGCCAGTCGACCATCTTTGATCCAACTGCGAAATAAATCGTCATGAACATGTATCCTAACATGTATAATCTATGTTTGAATGACAACTGACAAAGCATGTCCAAAATACAACATTTCCAAAAAACAAGATGGCTGCCAGTCTGCCATTTTGAATCAAATTGCTAAACCACTGCATGTACATATGTCCCACATAAGGTACTAGGCACATGCAAAGAATGAACGGAATCGGTCCACAAGATTCTGAAATATGACTCTTGGACAGATTGAGGGACGGACGGACACACGGACGGACGGACAGACTCAAGAACTCACGGACGGTCGGGAACATGTATCCTAACATGTATGATCTATGTACTAAATTTGAATGAAAACTAACAAAGCATGTTCAAAATACGACATTTTCAAAAAACAAGATGGCTGCCAGTCGGTAATCTTTGATCCAATGGTGAAATAAATCGTCATGAACATGTATCCTAACATGTATAATCTATGTACCAAGTTTGAATGACAACTGACAAAGCATGTCCAAAATACAACATTTTCAGAAAACAAGATGGCTGCCAGTCTGTCATTTTGAATCAAATTGCTAAACCACTGCATGTGCATATGTCCCACATAAGGTACTAGGCACATGCAAAGAATGAACGGAATCGGTCCAAGGGATTCTGAAATATGACTCTGGACAGACTGAGGGACGGACGGAGGGACGGACGGACACACGGACGGACGGACAGACTCAGGAACTCACGGACGGTCGGGGACATGTATCCTAACATGTATGATCTATGTACTAAATTTGAATGAAAACTGACAAAGCATGTTCAAAATACGACATTTTCAAAAAACAAGATGGCTGCCAGTCGGC